GATGAGCACATTTGGCCAGGAAGAACCAGGGTGTTGTGTGGAGTGCACTGAGTTTGGGCATCTAGTGGGGTGACCTAGTGGAGATGTCGTGCCCTGGATGACCTCAGCAAGTTTGTCTTATTGTTCCATCTGCTTGGAGTCCCCAGGCCTGCACATGGCCCACAGACTTTCCCACCTCTGCCCATGCTGGGGTCAAACAGAGCCACCAGCAGTGCCATCTCCGTCGCCTTTTGCAGGATGAGCTCCAGCCAGCTGCCATCCCACTGCGCTGTGCTCACTGTCTGCCCAAGGCGGTGAGGCTGAGCTCAGAGCAGAAGGGGACCCACCCCACAGTCAGCAATCTGTTCTGTTCACTAGGAGGGCTCCGGACCTCTGGCTGCCTGCCTCTCAGAGAAGGGGGATCATTCACTGAACTGTAGCTCCTGCTGGAGGCACAGACTAGTCTGCAGCTCAGAGGGCAGAGGCACTGATTTCCAGAACGGAAGTGAACATAAGCCCAGCACTTATTTTAGGAGATTTACTAATCAGAGTGGCTGAGTGCATGTGCAAAACATGCTGTGAGGGAGTCTGCGTGTGGAGGCAATCTCCCAACTTCTAAGTCGGCATTTAACCTGGAAAAATCCCAGGGCCCCACGTGGCCCAGTGGCAGTGTGGTTTCACTTTTAAAGACATGCAAGCCAACCACTAAAGAAAGGTAAAAAATGATTCTTGGAGAGTTCCAGTTCCAGTAACAGTGCAGGGGCACGGATTGGGCTAATCTCCCGCAAAGAACAATGATGAACTCTGGATAAGCTGTACAGCACTGTTTCAGGACAGCTGGACGGTGGCCAAAGAAGCAAACTGACCAAAAAAGCAAAGAATGGAGAGGACTCGACCCTTGAAAGAAAGGAACTGGGTTGGATGAAATTTATGCCAAGATGACTTTCCTCCCAGGGCCCTCTCCAAGCTGCTTGGGGCAGGGCGGCTGGAATGTAAGTCCCAGGAAGTCAGGGAATGGCATTCAGGCTGCCAGAGTGGCTGAAAACTGAGGGTGAAATCTTAGGAAGAAGGGAACTTGGAGGAGACGCCCCAAAATATTGCACATTAATTCCATTTTATTTTTTTAATTGTTGTAGAAACGGGGTCTTACTATGTTGCCCAGGCTGGTCTTGAACTCCTGGACTCAAGTGATCCTCCTGCTTTGACCTCCTAAAGTGCTGGGATTACAGGAGTGAGCCACCGAGCCTGGCTCACATTAATTCTCAAGTCTTTAGCGTGCCCTGCAATACATAAATGAAACCCCAAGAAGCCCAGAGGGAAGCAACACCTGGAAGGCTGAAGACCGAGCAGAGGTTTCCCTGCTGCCCACTGCAGGGAGACAGAATTTGGAGTTTAATTCCTGCCAAGTAGGCGCCTCAGGTTTTCCGTTAAAATCCCAGAAACCCTCCGCTTAGCTCAAAGACTATGTACCAGAGCTAAGGTTCATCCTAGGACCTGAGGTTATGACAGTAAACAGAACACCCTGGCATTACAACAGTAAACAGTTCAATATTCTTGCCCTTAAAAATTTATTTTCTAGTTAAGAAAACTGCAATAAACCAATAAGTGTTATGCAGAAAAATCAAGCCAGGCTGTGGGTAAGGGGCTTCTTGGGTATGTCAGAGAAAAACTTATTGGAGGGGGGGTCACATTTTCAGCATGGACTTTGTAGGGGGATTGAATGGTGACTCACAAAAAGCTGCGTCCAAGCTCTAACCTCTAGTACCTGTGAATGTGCCCTTATTTGAGTAAAGAGTTTTTGCAGCTGTAATTGATTTGAAGATCTCAAAGGAGATTATCCTGGATGAACCAGGTGGGTCCTAAATCCTATGGCAAGTGTTTCTAGAAGCAGAAACGACTCAAGGAAGAAGCCGTGTGAAGATGGAGGCAGAGACCGGAGGGTGCGTCTGTAAGCCCAGGCACCAGAAGCTCACAGGGAAGCAAGGGGGGCTCCTTCCTCAGAGCCCCCAGAGGAACCGACCCTCCCAAGGCCTTGATTTTGGACTTGTGCTCTCTGAACCTGTTCAAGGGTAAGTGTGTTTTCTTTTAAGCCACGGACTTGGTGGCTCTATGTTCTGGCAGCCACAGGACACAGTTACAGACCTGCAGTGGGTGACAGGGAAGCACTTCCCAGGGACCTTCCCAGAGAGAAGGGACAGCAGGTGCAAAGGCCCAAACATGACTTGATGTCTCCAGGGATTCAGGAGTGGACGGAGAAGAATGAGGTCAGAAGTCGGAGGTGATGAGGGTGGGGAAGGGGGCAAGGACTTCCAGGCCATGCTGACAACCTGAACTGCTGCTCTATGTGAAACGGGAAATCCTAGATGACGCTGCCAGAGGAGTGGCTGCATCTGACTGATTGTAAGGAGAATCATACAGGCCTGGGGAGGCTGATCAGAAGGCTCTGCAGCACCCAGGGGTGGGAGCACAGGAGAGTGGCCAAGGTGGGGGCGATGGAGGAGGGAGAGGGGACCAAAAGGGGACAACAGAGAAGGGAGAGGAGACCGAAAGGGGACAACAGAAAAGAGAGAGGAGACCGAAAGGGGACAACAGAAAAGAGAGAGGGGACCGAAAGGGGACAACAGAGAAGGGAGAGGGGACCGAGGTGGGGACGATGGAGGAGGGGAGAGGAGACTGAAGTGGGGATGATGGAGGAGGGAGGAGGGGACTGAGGTGAGGACAGTGGAGGAGGGAAAGGGGACAGAGGTGCGGACAGTGGAGGAGGGAGAGGGGACAGAGGTGGGGACAGTGGAGGAGGGAGAGGGGACAGAGGTGGG